AGTTATGGGAGTGTGAGTCTGTTGCAGAGGGAAAGTTGCTGATTAGTCAATGAAAGGTCAGGATAGATGGGTGCAGATGGGAAAGTCAACACAATCTGTTAGTATTTGCTGTAAAATTACTGTTTAAAGTTGAGAAAGGCAACATTTAAAATATGTAACAGGCATTGTAAAAATCTTGAAAAGTGCAACTCTGAATGACCAGGTAATACATTTTGTTTCGACTGCAATTTAATTATCTGGGAACTTTGGCACATATATGGGCTTTAGTGTTAACATGAACAACAAAAAAATCAAGGGGAAGATCATTTAACTCACTGAATTTAGCCTTGAACCTTTCAACAGTAAGAGGAGAAAACATCTACTTGCCATTTCATCAAGGAAAACCCCTCACAAAACCTAGGTGAGGTCAGTGACCATTTTTTACCCCAATTTACCCAGAGACGGTTTAGATAACTTACCTAATGAATTAAAAAAAATAAATCAGCATTTGAGTTCATATTAAATCTCAAGCGTATCCTCACACATGACCTGTTTTAAGGTAACTTATACATCACAGGAAAGCACCAAATTTTAAATATATTTCAGCAACAGTGTCTACAGAAGACACAAAGTATTGCCACAAGAATTTGCTCACTAATATTATTTTCCTGGGTGGATTTTCTGAGGTAGGGATCTCGTATTTAACTATGCATACAGCCAGTTTAGAGAAGCTTATGCACTAACAGCTATCCTTCTGGAAGGAAAATTTCACTACTGCCCAAAATAAAATTGGTCAAACAGTTTGATGGCGAGTGTTTTTGAGGCTGTCTTGGAGGGGACTTGGTTCTGAACAGTCGGGCCTGCTCTGCAAACCTTAAACAAGATGAAAGATATTCCTTAGCAAAGGGCAGAACCATAGGGCGAAGGATACAGCTTACAAAAGCTCATCTGAAGTGATATTATGATTTGATACTTAGAGAAATACTATTATTGCTGTGTAAAGCTCAGTGTAATCGCACCAGCTAATACTGCCAGGCATTATAACGCTAAGCAAGTAAGGATTCAGATCAGAATATGGAGGAGTTGTCTGTTTGTCAGGAAGAGCTGGCACTTAAAACTGGAAGGATGTCTGCCTGCCCGGCTGCTCACAGGTGGGTTCTATAAGACCTCTTCAGGACACAGGAAATTCAGTTGTGAGCTGAAATGCTCAAAATTCTTCACAGTGAGTGATCCACCATCAAAAAGCTGAACAAGTTGTGCTTTGCTCTGTAAGAGAAAGGGGCCCAGGGTTTAACTCTGAGCGTACCTCCTTCACACACCTTCACCAAGGCCCTGACCACATCATTTCCCTCCCTTTCTTCTAAAGCTACTGGGAGTTGCCAGTCAGGCTGGGCGTGTTTCTCAAAGTGCAGTGGGCCTGTCCACTGACGGGTCCCAGCTGCTTTTTTGGCTGTGACTTCTCCCAGGTGTGCTGGAGGGCTACTTAGTGACCACCGGTTTAGCCTGAGCTCCATGGAGACCTCAGGCTAGGAGGGCCTGCCTTTACCCTAAGCCTGAAAGAGATCATGGTGATTTGTCTTTCTGTGGGGTTGGAGGAATAGAAGCTTCTGGATCTTCGTTGGCTGCTTCTTCTCAGTAACACAGGACGGAGCCCCATTAGAAACACTGACATAGGCTGGGACCCAGAGAGCAAATAGGAATCACCCCCAACCTGCCCCCCAAATAAGCAGACTGCATAGCCTATGTCTCTGCCAGGCCACAGCTGTACCAGGTTCAGAAAGAGGGCTATTACTGCACATGAGAGCAATTTCTATAAACACACCACACAGGCTGAGCAGACACCCTCAGTGATCGCTGGAAGCTTGGCCACTGACATTCTTGGGGGTTTTGTCTTCCATTCTCAGGATTGTTCCAAGCACCCAGCATGCCATTCAAAGAAGATGCGTAGAAAGGCCAATAATTTATTTATATCAGGTGAATCAAGGAAGAGACAAATGTATTCTGATTGTGAAATTCACTAACACAAATTTTATCGCCAAATTTTAAATGGGGGAGGTTTTTCCGTGCTAAGGGCTTTTTCCAGTATGATCTGAAAAGGGTAAAAAACAAAACAAAACAAAACAAAAAACATAACAGAACTGCATTTGGCAGTGAATATTGACTTGATGTTTTTATTTCAGTAATTAAATCCGTGATGAATAGTACACTCTATCATAAATGTTGGCTTTTTGAAGCAGGGTTGAACTTTTTACACAGTCTGTTTTAACACTGGCGCGCACACCTGCATACATATATACTGATAAGGTTCTCTTCTTCATTTAAAAAATTTGATAAAACTAACATGTGCTATGTACACTCTGATGACAGCACTGCTGTGACACCAACCAGATGGCTTGTTATCCTTGGAAAACTATCCAGACATGTGCATCCGTGATTACCTTATTATTGAAGATGTTCTTCTAACTGTAGATAAAGACAACTCTTTGACCCAACCTGGTTTCCCAAATTTGCTGACTCCTTAGACTCACTGAGGTGTTTATGAAGCATGGGAATCTCTAATCCAGGGGCTTCTGAATCTTCATTTCCAGAGGTGACGGTGGAAACCTGCACGAAGCTGGCAATTCTGATGATCAGTAAGCTGCAAACACACCCCAGTAAAGTGGCAAATGGGATTTAGAGTTGATGACTTTTCAATGGATGTGGGTAGAATTAGTTCATTGTGTCAGTTTTAATCTTTAAATACCTCGTCTAGAAAACATTTTCGGGGCCTAGTTTTAGGTTAAATGAAAAAAGATGGAACATGATTAACAAGTAGATGGGAGGATTGAACCCTTCTTGTTTGATTTGAATGTGAAAGGGACAATAAGTTTCCAGATTAAATGTCACTGTCACAAAGTCATAAACAAGCACTCAAATGAACGGCGTCTATTTTGAAAGAGCCACAGCCCCCATTGATCCAAATACAGCAAAGTCATTTATTTTAGGAGTCTTTGTATCCTAGAAATATAGGACCTTTGTCAGGATTTTCATGAAATTGTAATTGGAAAACCTACCTGTCTTTTACCTATGGCAAACAAATGAGATATAAATAGATGAGTTCATAGAAACTGATAAGAAGAGTGACTGGCCATGAGTGTCACCATGGCTCTGCAGCCTCAAGGACAGCTCATTCATTATTTTTTTTTTAAAGATTTATTTATTTATGCAGACAGAACTGGGGCATAGGCCAGAGGTGGGGAGGAGGGTAACAGGATTCACCAGAGACAGAGTGGGGAGCAGAACAGGTTGATGTACTGAAATACACAGCTGAATGGAGCAGTGGGCGGGTCAGGAGAGGCCTGCTGTGCCACAAGGGTCACCTCCCTGGCTGGGGATTGAACTCGTGCTTCAGTAACTGTGATAGCTGCACAGCGCTATGCTTTAACCTGTTGTGCCACCAGGGAGGGCCTCTCATTTATTATCTTTTAGCCTCATGGCAATTCTGCAAGGTGGTATCCTGTCCTAACCATTGGAAGACTGGAGGCTTCAAATGCTTCAAAGTGGCCCAGAAACAGCCCAAAGTGTGACCTCAGGCCCACCCACCAGACAACATGGTAAACAACAATGCTGTAGGACAAGGGCCAGTCTAACTGGTCTCCAAAGAAAATGACATATCAGGGAGTGCAGCAAGGACTGATCACGCATTTAAACATCCTATTTTAGGTTTCTCTATTAAACATAATACTGTGTTATCAAACATACATTTTCTTTCTATGTGTATGGCAGAATAGATTTTCATTGAAAAGCAATTATGAGAATCCCAATCCTCGTAAAATTTATTAGGCCAAATTGTAAGCATGTGCATCTCTTTTAACAAGAATTCTCTAGTTGTCCAAATAGTGTCCCCAGGCTAGTTTTTAAAACTCCATTCTATTTAACCAAAACTTTTCATACTTGGATGAACAGAAATCCTAAAATCTAAAGATTGTTTCAAAGTCATTCTAAACTGAAACGCATAGAATTCCATTAAGATAAATTTTCAAGAGAATCAGTCATTTAAGTGTAGCTTCGTGGAGAGAAACTGCATATACTTGTGATTTGATTAAATTAAAAAAAAGAAAAAAGAAAAAAAGGAAGCATCCAAAGTTAAAGTGTTTCGGATATGGGGAAAAGGAAAGTGACAGATTGAATGTGATTATCCCTAAGGTCTTTTCAATCCACTTTACCTGAGGGTGAAGAGTTGTATTGCTAGTTAAAAGCTTTGATAAGTCAAGAAGACAGTGCATAATTATCATGGAGTTGGCTATATTACCACGGAGTTAGCTATATTTGGCCCGCAAAGGTAGAGGATGACTTTAACTTAACATTGCCTTATATCCTATCATTCTCTAAAATGCAGATTTTTAAGTTAAAAGAAACCGATGGGATTCGACGTGGATAGAGCCTGAGAATTCTTTTGCAGTCATATGGTTTGCTTAGCTTGTCAAAAAATACAGCTTAAGTAAACTTTACAAACAATGGTACGCGGTTTGCATTTTTGTTACAGAAATGTTCTCTCCTGACAGCTGTGAGAGAATTAAAGAAATCGGGCAATCATTTTATTTTTAAATGATTATATTTTTATCATCACCAGTCTTGTCGATTTATTTTTCCAGGAGAAAAATCAACATTGTAGGGGTCCAAAAAAGAACCTGGTAGAATGACTTGATTGTTTTTAGTAGATATTTACAAACTTTGCTCTTTTTTTTTTTGAAAGAGAAAATACCAAGGAGGGAAAAACAGCCAGCTCCACTATCCCAAAGAACCCACAGGCTATAGATAAAATTACTCTAAGAATTCACCTTATTTTTAACGCATGTAAAATAGCAAAATTATCATGCCAACATAAGGAATATGTACTCTACTTCTTAAGTGCCTAATTATCAAAACAATGACATAGTCGCGATTAGATGCAACCTAGCAATCTTATATACGATGCAACTACATATTGTATGGTCATTCCTGTTATATATTACATTCCATCCTCATCAAATTAAGCTGTATAAGTGGCATCATGAAATTAACATTTACTATCACAATAGAGTTGAATCCTGCTACCGCATGACCGCAGCATGCAAGTAACTGCGTTAGCTGGGAACAGTAAAGTGTCTTCACCTTCCAGAAATCCAGAGAACATGGAAAGTACTATATAGTAGTAAACATCAATTATATTTAAATGGCTTTCATATTGAACCAAACTATATCATGTGCTACAGTTTGGGATAATCGGTCACTGCTCTCTACACATATCCTTGGAGTGACCTTGAAATTAAGCAACTGAATTCCAAACAAGACCTGTTACTATTACGCGGCCCTAGTGAACTGCTGTCAACATGAGGACACGGGTCTCTCCGTGTTTCAGTGTGAAGGCTGTTTTCTATCCTTTCCCCTTTCTGCCCTAATTCAGGTTTTTGAATTAAGAATATGATGAATGTGGGCAACAACTACATTTATTTTTAAACTGGATACTTTCTTTGATGTCGATGTGTTCATGTTAGAAACAAGAATGCTGGAGATGCTTGCCAGCAAATACTCTCCTCTATTCCAAGAGAAGGAGTTGGCAGGAAGGTGCCTGGGTTATATAATAATTTGGGAGGCGGAGTCTCTGGAACACTTCTAGCATTGTAAAAAGTACATACAACTTAGCAGCTTGCAGAGGAAGGTTGAAATAAGTCAATCTGTTCTTTTAAAAATGCAGATGGATCATTCAGGTCTGATCCAGTGATTCCGAGGCAATTAACAATTACCTTGTTGAGGAAGTTTGCACACTGTAAGATAATAATTTCAGTTCTTTGCAGCGTTGTGGTATCAGAGGCTGGTTTTTGGAAGGAAAGGGAAAACTGACGGCTGGGCTTTTCCATGGTCTATCAGCTCTGATAATGAGTAAGGTAGTTGGCATGGGCGACAGGAATGTCCTCTTCACTCAGAATTCTAATAAACCTGGGAAGTTCACCATCCGTTCATCCAATGGGCTCATTTTGGTCTGCATTCCAGTTGGGTGGAAAATTGTCAATCTCTCAAACTGAGTTTGGCCATGATAGGGTCATGTGCAATATTGAAATCCATCTTATTAAGTCAAAATCTTGCTTTTACATTTACAGTGAGATTAAAACAGCATTTAAAGTCACTGCAACTTGTCACCTTCCTATACAAGTGATTTAAGTTTAGGTATGAGGCAAAAACTGTACAAGTCTCATCATTCAAGCATTATAAAATGTCTTTCTTTAAAGTCTTGGGATATAAACAGTTTGGTTTATATGAATTACATCTTTTTCATCTGCATTAAGAAACAATATACATTTTTTTTTCCAGAGTATTTTACGTTATCTATGATAAGCCTAAGATAGTCATCAAAACTGACATTACGTCCTGTGACCATCAATCAACACTGTTACTTTTATAAAATTCATGAACTTTCTTTGGCCACTTGGGTCACTGCCCATTTGCAGGGAACTGTACTTGGGCCCTAGGACCACAGGAGTTGTCGCCTTGAGAGCTGAGGCCATAGATCATCTTCAAGAAGCCATTTAGAAAGTCAAACACTCAGAATATCCTCAGACACAAGTTCCTTGACGTGTTGAGAGGTGGTGTTTTCGATTTCTCACTCCCGAAACCTTGTCTTTACTATCTGAAGGCTTCTGTTGTGAAATATCTATTAGGGCACTGGCGATTGCAAGACCTGGAAGAAAAGAAAAGAGGCTTTTAAATACTTGTTGGACATTTCTTGGCTGCTGACAGAGACGGCTTAGTGCCTTGTGTGGGACGATTTTACATTAGGTCATGGAACACTTAGCTGTTTATTGGAAGTAATCAAGAAGCTTCTTTTTACTTAAATCATTCCTAGCTTGATCATACAAATTTGACACATGAAGAACAACAAGGGGTCAAAAAAGTTCAACTGACTTGTGACTCTGGCTGTTCAAACCCAGGGGTGACAACTTGTCACACTCACCTACACCTTCTATGCCTGAACACAAATTAGCTCTGATGGACAAGGAGTTTTCCATGTTATTATTAAAAATTAAACCAATATTGATAATGCCATTATCACTCAAGTCCAAGGATATACTTTCGTGTTATATAATTTTATGGGTTTTGACAAATGCATAAGAATGTCATATAATCATTATTATTGTGTCATACCAAATAGTTTTGATGCCTAAAAGGTCCCAGGTATCCTGTCCTTCCTTTGCACCTCTGGTAACCACTGGTCTTTTTAAATGTCTCTACAGTTTTGCCTTTCCCAGAATCCCACATAGTTGGAATCAATCACAGAGACTGTAGCCTTTTCAAACTGTCTCGTCTCCACCATACATTGCTTCTTGTTCAATGCCTTATTTCTTTTTATTGCTAAATAATATTTCATTGTTTGGATGTACAGACTTTGTTTACCTACCTCTCCATTGAAGGACATCTTCATTGTGGTTTTTGGGAATTATAAAAAAGGCTGTCATAACAGCTATGTGCAATATTTGTGTGGACACTGTTCTTAATTCACAAAAGCCTAGGGAAAAGGTCCTAAGAGCACATGGGTAAGACGTTGTTCTGGCTTGGAAGCAACTGCCCAACTCCTCCCATGTAGCTGTGCCATCATCAGCAATAAAGGAGCATTTTTGTTGTGCCACACTGGCCCTGAACTATTAGTTGTCAGCATCTTGGATGTTCACCATTCTAATAGCTGTGTAGCTATATTTCATGGTTGTGTTAATTTGCAGTTCCTTAGTAACATAGGACATTGACTATCTTTCTGCATGCTTATCTGTCGCATGTGTCTCTTCTTTAGTGAGGTGTCTATTTAGATCTTTTGCCCACTTATTTTTGAGGTATGACTGCCATAAAGCATATCATTTTCTGATATATGACATAATGATTTGATATTTCTATTTTTGCACATTTTTAATTGCATTGTTGGTTTTGATTTTCTTATGGTTGATTTTTAAGAATGTCCTTTACATTTTAGATGCCTACCCTTGTCAAGGAAGTGTTTTGTAAAGATCTTCTCCCAGTCTGTGTGGTTGTCCTTCCATCCTTTTAAACTGTCTTTTAAGAAAAAGGAAGAAAACGCCTGAGAGAGAAAGTTGTGCTGTAAGCAAGTGGATATGGAAGAAAGGTGATATACAGAATTTTAGCTGGTAAATGTGTTAAAGATAAGAAAAGGACAGAGCATGTTATCAGAACAGCAACACAAAAATGGATCTCTTGCTATCAGAAGTAATTAATATTGTTTTGTTTCACTGGTTCACCTGTTGATTGGCAGGAATATTTGGTAAGATATTTAGAGATGTAAAGACTTTCCTAAGTCGAACAAACACTGGCTTAGCCAGATATTCTGGTTTATCATGGCTGCACATGAATCATTTAGTTTCCTTTGGATTTATTTATTTATGTATACAGAACTGGGGTACAGGTCAGAGGTGCAGGGGTGGTGAGAGGAATCACCAGACAGAGTGGGGAGAAGAACAGGCAGATCCATGAAGTACACTTGAGGGGAGCAGTGGGTGGGTCAGGAGAGGTCTGCCACGCCGTGTGGGTCACCTCCAGGGCTGGGGATCGAACTTGCACTGAAGCGTCTGTGGCTAGCTTGCAGTGTTGTGCTTTAACCCACTGTGCCACCAGGGAGGGCCCTAAATCATTTCAGTTTCTGTTGAGACTTGTGTCATTTTTGAGTAAAACAAAAAGTGCAAAGTCACTGTCCTAAACTAAGAACCCAGATAACCTGCTTTGTTTTAGATGAGGTCCCCAGAGGACTTATGGTTCAATGCCTTGCTCCAAAATCTTGGCGAATAGACTGAATTGAGCTAAACCGACCCTGAGACCTCAGACATCCTCTTGTGTGCTGCTCTCAGAGGCAGGCCTTGCTTAGGGTCTCACCCTATGTAAGGTATCACTCAATTTCTGCATTTCTGTGGGTCAATTTATTTTAACTAAGGTCAATGATGGCATGGTTAGAAGAGAACTCCAGGAGTTTATGAAGAGAGAGACACGGCCATCAAGAGAAGCAAAACTGTTAAACAGCGGCTCGACTAGCCTCGTACAGGCTTCTGAACATGAAGAGAGAAATGGGCTCAAGGGGTCTCAGCAGGGGGCCTTCTGCAAAACTACTGGGTTCCCTCCAAGAAATCCCTGATGACTGCTAGGCCCTTTCTACTCAACTGAGGACAGAGCCTGAACAGTAGGCAGGGAATGGGGTGAGAGGAAAGAGGCCTCGAGATATGTTGGTATAAGGGGAAGTTCAGGGTCAGACATAATGTAGGTATACAGTCATGTGATCATCTGAGTCTCCATCTATTTTAAAGAAAAAGGGAGCCTAATAGACATTAGAAAACATCTGGGAAAAAAGAGAAACTGATAGCACAGAGAGGGTAGGGATTTAAAAATCTCAGTAATGACTATCTAGGCTGGGAATCTTACATATTTACCTTTTATGGGTTGCCATGCGGTAACTCACGTAGATGTAACACAATAGCAAAGGTTCACAGTTTAAGTAAAGATCGACATCGACATCCGAAGAACACATAAGCACGACATCCAAAGAACACATAAGCACTTCTGATGCTTTAACCATTTCTGCTAGTGAAAATATTTTCTTCTTTTTTCTTTAATTGAGGGAGCTGAACCACAGTACATTCTAAAAAATCACAGATCATGCTTGTGCTTACTAAGAGTTCAGTTCAGTGGATCTTAAGTTTCCGCACATTTCCTGGCATACTTCTGTCATAATTTACAACTTGGTGTTATTTCATTCTCGGCTCCTTATCCTGACACAGCTAAGTAAGACAGATAATATATGCCCCATTTTAAAGTGGACAGCAACTACTTGTACAAATTTCAATGAACAGGCATCCAAGTATCATGTTCTTGGATACAATATCCAAGTATCACGAACCATTGCATGGCTTAGTCCTGAGACACTCTGAGAAATGATACTTTTCTATTACACGTGAATGCAAATACTGTTTCCCTTCCAGAACACACAGCCTCAAGCAGACAAGTAAACAGTTTGAGGTGCCAGAATAGGAAATTCTGAGCTAATCTGAAAGTGTCACTGTATGTCTGTAGTTTGGGGTATGCAAAGTCCAGAGTTTAATGAAAATAGTGTCTCTCACAGCACACCCTGGAATTACTAATGATTTGCAGGGTTGGAAACAGATTTGGTTGAAAACAATAAACTGCATTTTGGTTCTTAATTTACAAATAAAGTTGCAAATTGTGCATATTTTTAATTTTATGGTGTTTGTCCTTTCAGTGAAAACGGGATGCTGACTGCTGGTCCTGCATGAGGGTGTGTGTGTGCAGGAAACCTTGCACCCCTGGCCAGTGACCTTGATGTCCATCACCTGTGCTCACAGAGGACACTCAGAGGGCCACTTGCCCAGGCCTCTATCTCTGGGTGGCCAAACGGTGTTTTCATTCAGATTTGCACTTGTATCCTCTGCTAGATCACACAGCTTGGGGTACACCATGAGTTATTCTGCTCAGAAATCCTGTCATTTAATTATGAAAAGCACAGTGATCATAACAGCAGGTGTATGCACCTTTAGTGTCAACTTGTTGAGTGTAAGCTTTTGTTAATATTTTTGCGTTTCTTCTTATTTCAATATAAGACATTAAATAAAAAACACACCCAGGAGTTACCAGGTTCTTTTCAACCTACAAGAAGCCCAGGACACATCAGAGAACAAGACAAAGTCTCTGTCTCTTTGAACTGTACACTTTGGGAAGGACTCATTTAAAAAAGGGAGAGAGAGATTCAAGTACTTTCTGTTACTGCTCTTCAGCCCATGTTATTGTTGCGGGGAATCTGACTTTCTTATTTGACAAGAAGTCAAATCAGTGGCTATTTGCAAAGCCAGTATTATTTTCTCTCCCCACCCCCCAGATGTAGCATCCATATGGACAGACAGACAGAGGTCAGACTGAATATAAACAGTTCTGACCCACAGATGCCCAGAACTCCAACCCTGTCCCTGTTATCACCTACCCAGAAGCTGGCCCACGAGGTCAGGCCAACATCAAGCAAGACCACTGTCTCCAGTAGCCATCACAGTCAAATGATCGCCCCTGGAATGCTAATGGGCCCCAGACAGCCAGACCTTAACTGACAAGCCTAACTCACTCGGGATGGCCCTAGGCCCTGAGGGAGGTGGCCGCCCTCTGGCAGGCTCCTGAGGGTCACCTGCCCCTCCACACAGCCGCTGGCTCTGATGCTCTCATTACAGCAAATTCTGGAAAAATAGTCTCCACTTATTCTTACTTGGTTGGTCTCAGGTTATTCTCGAACTAGCCATGAAGAGAGAAAGGCCTTTGAGCAACCTATCGATAAAATAAAGGCAACTCAGCAGGTAGGCCTCTGTATTGCCCCTGGAGCTAACGCCTCCTCCTGGTTTAGATTTCCCTGGAACTTTTCTCAGGTGAGCGACTCTCTGGCGAAGGCCTGGCCTCGGAGGAGGATGGGCTTCTTCCCAGCAGGAGCTGTGTGGTGGGCTTGCGGCCTGCAGCTAGTGTTCCCTTGAAATGAGGTCATTGCAGAAGATCATTTTTCAAAACGTCACACAAATCATCTGATGAAATCCACTTACTGTGGTCTCGAGGCCTAGCACAGTTTCTTGTTATCAAAGCAATACAATTAACTGGGGGAACGATTCATTATTTCAGACTCGTGGTCTAAAAGAATTTCAT